TGGCCGGCCACCCAGCCTTGAGAGAGAGATAACTGTGGTTGACCACCGGCCTTGGGAGAAAAACCGTTGAGTCAAGTCAGGATATTTATGGTTGGCCCCCTGGCCTTGAGGAATAAGCAGCTGGGCTGGAAAAACGCCCACTGTACCCTGGGCAAGGCCAAGTCAGCCACACACATCAAATTTCTGAGAATTAAAAAAATACGTCCCCAAGTTCACCCTGACCTTCTTTGAAACAACCAATAAGAACCCTGTAACTATGCTTCTCGCTTCTGTAACCGCGCCTCTGCCCTGGGATTCTATAAAAAGTCCCCCTTGCCCTAGGAAGGCGCACAAGTCCTCCGAGAGGCTTCGCCCCAGGTACCTGTGTATCTGAATAAGCCCTCTTGCTGTTTGCATCTGATCTGTGGTTTCGGTGTGTTCCTTGGGTTTGGGGTCTCTCCTGAAGGAAGATCTCCCCTGGGGGTCTTTCATTGGAGGTCCCACCGAGATAGAGACCCCTCCCTGGGACCACCGACCCACCGTCAGGAGGTAAGCCGGCCGGCCTCGGTATATGTCATCCCTGTCCTGTCTGAGTGTTGTCTGTTTGTCCGCGCGCCTGATAATCTGTCTGTGGCGGTGGGGGCTGAAGGAGCTGACGAGCTCGGACTTTGCCCACCGTTACCCTGGAAGACGTTCCACGGGTGTCTGAAGTCCCCTCCGGGGCACGGTTTTTCGGGGCCACTCACGTATCCAAGGGATACGTGGTGTTGGTCGGAGACGAAGGGTCCGGACCCTCGCAGTCTCCTTTGAGGTTTTGCTTTCGGTTTGGAACCGAAGCCGCGCAGCGCGTGTTAGTCTTATTTGCGTTTGTCTGTTGTTCTTTGTTTTCTGTTTAACCGTTCTCCTCCTAGAAACAGCCATGGGACAGACTGTCACCACCCCCCTGAGCCTCACGCTTAACCACTGGTCAGACGTGAAGGCGCAAGCCAACAACCTGGGAGTTGTAGTCAAGAAAAATAAATGGACCACCCTTTGCGAGGCTGAATGGGTCACAATGGAAGTAGGATGGCCTCGCGAGGGAACCTTTAACCTCAGTCTTATTTCACAGGTGGAGGGAAAAGTTTTCGCTCCGAGTCCCCATGGCCACCCGGACCAGGTCCCATACATCGCCATGTGGAGACTCCTGGCGACAGAACCCCCTCCATGGGTTAGGCCGTTTCTCTCCCCTCCAGCCCCCCGGCAGCAGCAGCGCTCGCCGAATCCCAGGGCCGAGGAAGCCGGGGCGGGGGACCGCCCCTCGGCCGGCGATCGGCCACTGCCGGGCGCACTTCCACCGTGGCGGTGCGCTGCGACTGGCTCTGGGACGGCTGGGGAGGCCCGGTTTGGGGAAGGTGGCTCGGGAGGGGCGGCGTCACCCGTGGACGCCGAGCCACCCCGCCCCGAGTGTTACAGCCCCCGACATCGCCACCGCTCCCTCTCGCCCCTCCTACCTCCTCCACAGCACCACCGCTCCCTCTCGCCCCTCCTACCTCCTCCCTTTACCCTGTTCTCCCACGAAAGGATCCCCCTAAGGCTCCTGTCCTTCCCCCAGACCCCAATTCACCTCTTATTGACCTCCTGACAGAGGACCCACCGCCATACCCGGGGAATCGAGCGCTGGAGGGACCGGCAGCCCCTGCAACGGCTCCCGAACAGCCTCTACAGCGGGAGCGGGAGGATAAGGCTCCGGCTCCCTCCCCAATTGCCGGTCGCCTACAAGGAAGGCGCGACGAACCAGCCAAAGAATCCAGGAAGGCCCTAATCACCAGCTCCAATACTGGCCGTTTTCGGCCTCTGATCTTTACAACTGGAAGCAGCATAATCCTCCTTTCTCTAAGGACCCTGTTGCCTTGACTAACCTGATTGAGCCCATTTTAGTGACCCACAGGCCCACTTGGGACGATTGTCAGCAACTACTGCAGACCCTCCTGACGGTGGAGGAGAAGCAGCGAGTCTTCCTGGAGGCTCGGAAGCAGGTTCCAGGAGACAATGGAAGACCCATCCAATTGCCTAATATTATTGATGCAGCCTTTCCCCTCACTCGCCCGAACTGGGACTTCGCGACCCCAGAAGCCCTACCCTGGAGGCACATCTCCAAGCCCTCCAACTGGTGCAAAGGATGGTGTGGAAACCCCTGGCAGACGCCTACCGGGAGCAACTGAATCGGCCGGTGGTGCCTCACCCATTCAAGATTGGGGACTCTGTCTGGGTCCGACGCCATCAGTCCAAGAACCTAGAGCCGAGGTGGAAAGGACCATACACTGTCTTGTTAACTACTCCCACTGCACTCAAGGTTGACGGGATAGCGGCTTGGGTCCACGCGTCGCATGTGAAGGCGGCCAAAGAACCCCACGAAGCTGAGAACACCGAGACATCTACATGGAAAGTTCAACGCTCTCCAAACCCACTAAAGATAAGACTCACCCGTGGGCCCCCTTAATCCCCCTAACAGTCCTCCTGACATTAGGAGGGGCATCACCAGAGAGCCCCCACCTGGTTAAGAAAGTTACCTGGCAGGTCATTTCCCAAACTGGGGACGTAGTCTGGTCCACAACTGCTCAACACGCTCCTAACACATGGTGGCCCTTCTTGACTCCCAAGATATGCGACCTAGTCGCTAGGCTGGATACCTGGGATATCCCCGAGTACACCCACACCAATAGGCCCTCTGTCCTAAATGCAGACCACAACAATGTTGTGTCTCGAAAGAAACGGGCCATACAGACTGGGGTTACAGCTCAAGGACAACATATGGCCGACTCATCTGGCTGCCGAACACGGTCAGCCTATAGAAAGCTGCAGCAGACCCAGCTGTATGTATGCCCTAGGGACGGAAGGGACTGGGATACGACTTACAAATGTGGGGGACTAGAATCTTTTTTTTGTGCAAAATGGGGATGTGAAACGACCGGGGACGCGTACTGGAAGCCTAGCTCCAGTTGGGATCTCATCAGGGTGGAACGAGGTCAGAAGGGAGAAGATTCACTAAACATTTCCTTCACCCCAAAGGGCACAAAGTTCTCTTCATGGACCGATGGAAGGTCTTGGGGAGTCAGGTTCTATATGATGGGAACAGACAGGGGATTCACCTTCCAAGTAAAACAAAAGATAGAATCAATTAACGTTCCTGTGGGCCCCAACCCTGTTCTCCCAGAACAGAAGTCACCTTCACAACCTGAAAGAGCCCCAGCCCAGCTCCCCCACTGATCTATTACATTGTCCCCTACAGCCAGCATGGCCACCACTGCTTCCCTTGTAAGGCCAGGCACTGGAGATAAACTCCTGAAATTAATCCAAGGGGCATATCTAACCCTCAACCTCACTGCCCCAAACAAAACCAGAAGTTGCTGGCTTTGTCTAATTTCAAGTCCCCATTATTACGAAGGGATTGCTGTTATGGGGAATTTTACTAACCACACTTCCCCATCCACAGAATGTACCCGCACTCCTCAACATAGGCTAACCCTATCTGAAGTTGCGGGACAAGGGTTATGCATAGGAGAGGTGCCCAAGTCTCACCAGTTCCTGTGCAATACCACCCAACAGGTGGTCGGGGGCTCCTACTACCTGGCAGCCCCCAATGGAACCTACTGGGCCTGCAGCACCGGATTGACTCCATGTATTTCAATGACAGTACTTAATTTGACCTCTGATTATTGTATATTGATAGAATTATGGCCCAAAATTATTTATCATACCCCCGAATATGTATTCACCTATTATGAGAAACGGCACAGGTTCCCTCAAGAACCAGTGTCTATGACTGTGGCTTTACTGCTGGGGGGATTGACTGTCGGGGTGTGGCCGCAGGCATCGGAACTGGCACTGCGGCGCTCATGGAAACTGCACAATTCAGACAGCTGCAAATGGCTATGCACACTGATATCCAGGCCCTAGAGGAATCCATAAGTGCCCTAGAAAGATCCCTTACATCTCTATCTGAGGTTGTTTTACAAAACAGGAGGGGGTTAGACATCCTCTTCCTACAAGAAGGTGGCCTATGTGCGGCCCTTAGAGAAGAATGCTGCTTCTATGCAGATCATACTGGAGTAGTCAGGGATAACATGGCTAAATTAAGAGAAAGATTAAAACAGAGACAACAATTATTCGAGTCTCAACAGGGATGGTTTAAAGGATGGTTCCAAAGGTCACCATGGTTTACCACCCTTGTCTCCACCATTATGGGCCCCCTAATCATCCTCCTGCTCATTTTATTGTTTGGGCCATGCATCCTCAACAGATTGGTGCAATTCATCAAGGATAGGGTTTCTGTTGTCCAGGCTTTGGTCCTAACCCAGCAATATCAGAGGCTCAGACAGTCAGAGGTGGAGCTGACCCCTTATTCTCCATCCTAAAATGAAAGATTCCATTTGGTACAAAAGAAAATGGGGGAATGAAAGACCCCCACTCCATTATGAGGACATGGGGCGTTG